CGGGTAAGGGGGATGCCTGCTCACATTCAGCTTCATATGCTCATTATGACAGTTCCACCTCTACTCTTTATTCTCCGAGATCTGTTGGTTGTCGGTTCTGTCTTTAGTGAACATTCCGATCCGTATCTTCTCATCCATTATTGATGAGCAGCGTTATTTGTCCCCTCTGAACATTCTCCTCCTCACCCCTCCACGTCCACTCTCCTCTCTGTGGACATTCTCCTCCTCCCCCCTCCACGTCCACTCTCCTCTCTGTGGACATTCTCCTCCTCTTCCTTCCATGTCCACTCTCCTCTCTGTGGACATTCTCCTCCTCTTCCTTCCATGTCCACTCTCCTCTGTGGACATTCTCCTCCTCTTCCTTCCATGTCCACTCTCCTCTCTGAACATTCTCCTCCTCTTCCTTCCATGTCCACTCTCCTCTCTGAACATTCTCCTCCTCTTCCCTCCACGTCCACTCTCCTCTGTGGACATTCTCCTCCTCATCCCTCCATGTCCACTCTCCTCTGTGAACATTCTCCTCCTCTTCCTTCCACGTCCACTCTCCTCTCTGGAAATTCTCCTCCTCTTCCCTCCACTCTCCTCTGTGGACATTCTCCTCCTCATCCCTCCACGTCCACTCTCCTCTGTGGACATTCTCCTCCTCATCCCTCCACTCTCCTCTGTGGACATTCTCCTCCTCATCCCTCCACTCTCCTCTGTGGACATTCTCCTCCTCATCCCTCCACGTCCACTCTCCTCTCTGAACATTCTCCTCCTCATCCCTCCACGTCCACTCTCCTCTGTGGACATTTTCCTCCTCTTCCCTCCATGGTTATCCCTCTGTGATCATTCCCCTCTAATTACATTGTGGAATAATGATATAAAATAGTACACAAACATTATATACTAAAACATAGCTACAAAACAGAAAATGTCCTGCTTCCTACACAGCATGTATCCCGAATGTTGGACTATAAATGTGCACAGTGTTTACAAATGACTTGGTTGCATGGGAAGATCAGTGTTCTCATGACAGGTACAGGATGGGAGCTGGGCCCATGCACACTACTCTACAATTTGACCTTGGGCTAGAATAGAGGCTGCCTGGGACAATCCAGGTGCAGAGGCAGATTTAGGGGGCCTGTCGTTCTCACTAATGATGCGAATTTACTAGCTGAAATTTCTGGCTTGATTTCAGTAATAAATATTAACCTATTGTGTGACAGAAGCTTTCCTGACACTCTAAGCCCTTCCACCCATGCTCAGGGATCCTATGTTACTAGCACAATCACCTCCTCAAACTAATGAAGAGAACATGGGCAGGAGTCATACTGCATTCATTTAGGGGGATTTATTACAAGCGGCAACTAAGTGTGTTCTGATGCTACACACAGCACTCCAATCTCTCTAGAAATAGCTTCAGTGCCGAGGAAAACCTTTTCTTTTTGTAAGTCGTTTCCTTTCTTTGGACAATAGCTGGCAGGTGAGAAATGTCATCGGTAGTGTTGTGATGGCCTCATACATCTCATGTATCCTCTTAAATACAACATGAGTCACCCATTTTAGGAAGGCCAGGCTGCTTCACTTGCACCACTGCTGATTAAAACATTGGACGCTGAAGCTCCTGGAACCAGCTGACACTTACTGTAGTGATAAAGGCCCAGGGTGCAGGGCATGCTGTGGAAGTACCACACAATTCAAATGGGGCCATTCGGATAAGGCCCACAAACCCCAAAGAAGGGGTGAATAAGAAGAAGCTCATATCTCAGTCTAGTTAGTCTTCAAAGTCAATTGGCCTCTCATTTTAGGCACCATAAACACCAGTTTTACAATGGGAAGCTTGATGACCATTTCTTGTGTGACCACAGGACCATCTCCATTGCCAGAACTAGACAGAGTGTGTAAAGCCAAATGGCTAAAATCCAACAACTGGTCAATTTGCATTGTGTTGCATTAAAATGGATGTCTCCAATTATTATTATATTGGTCTGGAACCAATTATTTTGGTACTGCTCTTCCTGGCCCTCTGCATCCTAGAACTGCCTTTCTCAAGCAGGGTGCCGTGGCACCTTGGTGTACCTTCTGGCTTCCTCAGGGGTGCCTCAGAATTTTGTGATAGTGGGACTGTGATGTGACTGAGGGGAATGAAGACTGGAGTGAAGGGGGAACTCTGATATGATGGGTGTGTACTGATGCAAAGGGTGGCTCTGATGTGAAGGGGGGAATCTTGATTTGAATGGGGCACTTTGTTGTGAAGCGGGAAACCTACTTTTTTGTGTATATTTGCATGGAGTTCCCCTTAAAATCCCTGACATTTTAAACTTGGGTGCCTCAATATTTTGTATACTTTTAAAGGGTGCCGTGACATAAAAACTTTGAGAAACACTGTGCTAGAGCCACACTTTGGATGGGCTTCCACATCTGGTGGATATGTATATCTGAGCCCTTGGAAAGCAAAGTGGTCTCTTTCAAGCTGAGAGATCAAAATGATCATATTCATGACCTTCACTCGGCCAAAGCATGAAAAATAAACCTAAAAGTTGTATTCAGTCTTCACAGTAGAAATCATTATCAAAGCCAAAGTTTTTATGACTTTTGATATTCCCTCAAGTTCTAAAAATACTGGAATCATTCCGCTACAGTGTGCTGCTTTTCAATTTTCAGATCCTGCTTAACCACATGCTTATATCAGCATGCGTTAGACCTTCCTTATTCATTGGTCATGGGACCCAACAAGTGGTATCTATCCTGTGCGCCCACCTACATCATACAAGAATTCCTTCACTAGAAGGACATACCTGTGAGGAATAAACTGGCTTGTTTTTACAGGTGATTTCCGGGGCGGAGTTGTGTTGGGTGTTTCTTTGGTGCGCTCAGCCAGATTTGTGTATTTAGTGTCCATAGACCTCGCCATTGAAAATCTGCGAGCTGTGTATCAGACAACCCTAACGTCTCAGAAAGACACGGCAAGTCCAGTTGTTTTTATTTATTTTGTGCAGATGTACCATGACCCGGATGAATGAACCTTCACAGACATTGACGAGACAAATAAAAAACCCTTAGTGACACAATGACACAGGCTGTCTTCTCATTTCAACCAGTGAGCTTCTCCCTTTAAAAGGAGAAGTACGAGGTCAGGGCTTTTCCCCCATAGTTCTCCTTAGGGTGACGGGAGGACACAAACTAGCGTCCTCCCGTCACCCTAAGCTCAGTATATAGGGAGCTACAGCTCGCGGTATACTAAGACGCCGCAGCCGGAGCGGATCCCGACTTAGACGACGGGATCCGCCCAGCTGCGTGAGTGACAGCTGGCTCCGCCCATCTAGAGGCAGAGTCAGCTGTACCCGCCCCCTCCCCCATCCGTTCCGCCAGTCAGCGCTGGCAGATCGGAGCGGGGAGAGGGGAATCCAGCCCCTCCCCCTGTCACGGCGTGACAGGATCGAGAGGTGAGCGAACGCCGGTATGTGTTCGCTCACCTCCCGATCTACTGAGCCGACCTGTGACAGTCTCATTGTCACAGGTCGGCTAGAACTATGAGGCGAGAGGAAATCACTCCCCTCATAGTTCTCCTTTAATCTTCCAAGCTGCACGAGATCCATAAACAGAGCTCATCAAACTGGTTGTCTGATACACAGCTCGCAGATTTTCAATTCCGAGGTCTGTGGACACTAAATACACAAATCTGGCTGAGCGCACCAAAGAAACACCCAACACAACTCCGCACTGGAAATCACCTGTAAAAACAAGCCAGGCCTCGAGGGATGTTCATTTTAATGGCTTTACATCAGCCAACTACACATCAATCTTATCAATGTGCGGCACTGAACAAAGAGCAAGGCAAGCAATGCCCTATGTACTGAAGCACAATTATTTTGTGTTGGGTGGAGTGGGGAAAGGTCACAACTTTTCATGGGTATTGATTGCTGTTTTATGACTTCACCTTGGAAAGACCCTTGCTTCCTCCCCCGAAAACAACAGGTCAAGAAACAAGGGTCACTGGGACAGGAAGTGAGGGGGATATCTCCCTAATGGGAACACAGTCAATGATAAAAGCCTGACACAATGTAACCCTTCCCTCGCTCTATCCAAAATAGAAAATGGGCTCCTCTACATGACCACAATGAATGCTCATCACCTAGAAAGGTGGTAATGGGCTAAGATAATTCCATAGATAAAAATCTGGATAAGGACCCGATCTCTGTACCTGGCAAGCAATGGATTTGGTAATCTTTTGATCTACAACTGCATTTCTTTCTCTCGTTTTTTGTGGATCTGACACCCCCATTTAAAGCACAGAGGGGTACAATGAACCATTCACATATGCCCCTCACCTCCACAAGAGCTTACAGACTACAAGGGGCCCTCAAAGGGCCAGTTCACCGTCTGTCAGACTGTTGCAAGTAGGAGTAAAAAAAAAAAAAAAATGTCCCTGTATCGGTTCCTTTGCTGCAATGAGATGTCCATGTATGTAAGGCCTTCACATTGCAGGGGCTGGGTTACAGCAAGCAGTAGTTTGAGGACTGAAGTATGGCCAACAATACAACATCAAGAGACTCTAATAAGTAGACAACTGTCATACTCAAAGGTGAAGAAAAGTCTCTTTAGATCATATTAACTGACCCAGTGTAAAATGATTTGCGAGTTGCTCGAATCATGGGCAGATTGGATCAGCTCAAGCTTCTACTCTGATTCAGGGGGGTTACAGAGGTGGTTTTAAAGAGCTGCATCAGTATGGCCTTCAAGTGGCAGTATAATCCATTGTGGGTCTTTAATATATGATTAGATATCTTTCACCCTAGGGGAAAAAAAAAATCAGTGGGGTGCGGAAACTGCAGATGTATTGGCAAGTCAAAATTACCACGGCTATGGTTTCCACGCAATATGTAAATGATGGTTGACCAAAAGGTCCAAAGTTAGACGGGGGAAGATTCAAGACCTGTTACCATCACAGTAATACTTGTTTTCCAGGTTATATTTTGTAAAACTGAAGTAAACTTATTTTCGGTTTCTCTCTGTAGGTGAAGCTAGGAGGCGATGCTCCAAATTCGAATGTTGTTCATATTAACGATGAAAAAAGTTCCTCAGGAAAGCCTGGCATGCCATGTCACCTTCTAGACTTTGCCAGCTCAGAGCGCCCTCTTGTTGTCAATTTTGGATCAGCCACCTGACCTCCCTTCATAAGCCAGCTGCCAGCTTTCAGCAAGATGGTGGAGGAGTTCTCCGGTGTAGCCGACTTCCTGTTGGTCTACATCGATGAGGCTCATCCCTCAGATGGTTGGGCGGCTCCTGGCAGCTCCTCATATGAAGTGAAGAAACATAGGAACCAAGAAGATCGTTGTGCAGCTGCCAACAAACTCCTTCAGCAATATTCCCTCCCCCCACAGTGCCAGGTGGTTGCAGACTGCATGGACAATAACACCAACGTGGCCTACGGTGTCTCCTTCGAAAGAGTGTGCATCGTACAGAGGCAAAAAATTGTGTACCTCGGAGGTAAAGGGCCGTTCTTCTACAACCTCCAGGAAGTAAGGCAATGGTTGGAATTCACGTTTGGAAAGAAGACAGGAAGTGAACAAACCGGCACAGAGAATTGACTGCCGATGAAGGAATGAGACAGAAAGCCAGTCTGTCTGTGTTATAGTATGTACACAGGACTATGGTATGGATGTTCAGAAGGAAACTTTGAAAAGGACCAAAAGGCAGGAAAATGACCACAAAACGTTTACTGCGAGAAGCCACAACCCAGATGTGTGAAATTATCCTTACTGTGACCCTTGTTTCTGGCAGACCTCAAACCGCTGTGTTTTCACTCTTTTAAAAACAATACACAGCAGAATCTCGGCTGAATTTCGGAAGACGAGGGTGTGGTAAAAGCTGCACAAAATAATATATAAGAAGGGAAAAGTCACAATAGTTTCAGCTGACACAGAGCTCACATCTGACAGCTGTTGGAGATCCGAGGGAAACGTCTGTTGTTCCTGGGAATCTTTGTATGGAGATGACATGAAGAGGAACGAGCAGTCCACACACCCCCTCCGGTGCATATTTATTCCAGTTTTCAGTCATCAGGTGTAGCGCATGTTATTTATTGTGTTATGATTCTGCAGGACGTCTGTTGCTGTAGATCCAGGAATGACACAGTTACCTCAACAAGGATGTTCTCTGCTCTTCCAGCAGCAAAAGGTCTGAAGGTTCTAACCATGTTAGCTGCAGGAGAGTGCACTCATGAATCCTCTAACAGTTTTCATGTGTGAACCCAAAAAGGAACATAAATACTTTCATAAATATGCCTCCCAAGGGCTACCCAGGCCTGTGCAGTGACAACCATGGCACCAATTAGATACATGCTCTAGGCAAACGACACGAACACTCCATTAAAGGTCTAATGCGCGTCTGCAGAGCACGCGTCAAAGCTTCCCCAACACTATACCCTCTGGATGGTCTGGCACAGTCTGCCGCTATAGACAAAGGACCAGTCCATGGTTATAATGACACATCCAACAACTCTGTCCAGCTAGGATTACACAGACACACAGACATGCATCACTTAGAGAGTTATAAGACTGGAACGTCACAACAGTGAAAGCAGAAAACCCCAAACCAGCCACTAGACTAGAAGAACATTCCGCACCGGTTTTATCACAACTCTAAAACAGAAGATTAAAACCATTCTTGAGCACATATATGAACATTCCTACCTCCTGTCCATAAGAAATTACAGTGCCACCCACTCAATAGATCCCATGGAAAAGTTCTGGGGCGCTAACCAAGATTGGGCAACACAAGCCTAAAACATCAACCCAATATTATAGGGGAGGTTGTGTGTGCTCAGAATCAATAATGGGTAGAATGGGACCCTAGGCAAAGAAGCAGCTTTGTCCCCCTCATCCCTTCTATGTGTAATAGGCAGTTAAGATGCCCCGTTCGCATTGTCTGTACTGGCATGGCCCATCAGAAATCAAGTGCCAACCTGTACATCCTCCCTTGTGCGCAGGTTCATCCATTGTGCTCCCCTTAGTTTACTACAGAAGCAGGAAGGTCGTAGCTGACCCCCCCCCCTCACCCTTCTTGGGCATCCATCGGGCCCTCGGCTCCTGCCTAGTTTGCCTTATGGATGATCTTGCTCTGCTCAGGAGTGCGGCTTCACTACAATAGTCAAGGTCACAGCACCTTTGCAGAGGAACCGACGTAAATAAAGGGTCCTGCAACATTTCATATGTCATGCATTGAAGGAAGCCATAAGCATTGGGCAGCTCAGGAAACCAGCCAAATTCACGCATGTTCAATAGTCAGTTCACACATACATGTTGAAATGTAAGCATAGGGCTCTACGCTTCACACCACTGTGATTACTATCACTTAAGATAAGGTACTTGATGGGCAGCCACTATCAGATCTCAGTGCACCAGTCTTGACTGGCTCCCTGTAGGATATAGACAGACAGAGGATGAATGGCTGAACTAAGCGATAATAGATATATTTACAGTTTCCAACCGAAAAACCACCCCGCCCCACCCCCCAATGCTTTTCAGTTGTATATTTTTTCCAGCCGATATACTACTGTTTTCCACTGACATAAAGATCGGCATCAGGTATGTCCACCCTGGGTGGATGATGTCACTGTCACAAGAGGAAGGTCACATGCTCCCCAATCCCCCCAAGCTGCGTTCCATTACAACGTTGAAGAGGAGTCTAACAAAGGGTTGGGGTTGGGGAGTTGGCCAAGGAGCGTTAATCGGTGAATATACTTTGCTGGACTTTGTCCTTAATTTAACACTTTAAATTGTCCTAGCTTTTTCTTTTGCCTTCCTATTTAAAAGTCCCACGCACCGAGGCTGCTGAAAGCTCTTTCTTGCTCCCTCTCTCCTCTAGATAGGAGCTGTGGAACTCAATGGACTCTACCTTCAGAAGTCAGTTGTAGATTGTGACAATGACATGACGCCATCCCTCCTTTCCCCATTGGCTGACCGTTTATCGTCACAATGACCTTTCAGCCAAAAAGGAAAAAAAAGAAGACATTCCAGACACTATGTGGAAAAGGAGGGATGAAGATGTCACTATCCAGGCAGACTTCTAGTAGCTAGATAGGGATTGCTAGGGAGCACTCTCTATGCACGGGGACAGTTACATGGGATAGTGAGAGGTTGGTAGGGGTCACTTCAATCAGCTATGCCTTAGATTCATGCCAAACATTGTAAGGAAGATAGGAAACACCGACATGATCAGATGAGACAGAAGCCAGATGTCCAGCACAGAGAATATTCATGAAAGTGTTTTTGTTCAAGAATGAGGATTGAAAACAATGTTCAAAAGAAAAGAATGTGTTCCAGGCGCAGGAAACTTCAGGTAGAAGGGCTGTGTATACGGTGCAGAGCACAGGAAGTGCTGACGTATCACAATGTGAAGGCTGACTGTAAAACCCTCTCAGGAGATTGATAATCAATATGTGTGTCTCAATGATCTGCTCTTGTATTTACACTGTTTTCACAACTCTCCATACCGGTCAATCACTGAACTCACAACCTTGCCATAGTCCATGATACATTGTAACACAATCACTGAACTCACAACCTTGCCATAGTCCATGATACATTGTAACACAATCACTGAACTCACAACCTTGCCATAGTCCATGATACATTGTAACACAATCACTGAGCTCACAACCTTGCCATAGTCTATGATACATTGTAACACAATCACTGAACTCACAACCTTGCCATAGTCCAGGATACATTGTAACACAATCACTGAGCTCACAACCATACCATAGTCCGGAATACATTGTAACACAATCACTGAGCTCACAACCTTGCCATAGTCCAGGATACATTGTAACACAATCACTGAGCTCACAACCTTGCCATAGTCCATGATACATTGTAACACAATCACTGAACTCACAACCTTGCCATAGTCCAGGATACATTGTAACACAATCACTGAGCTCACAACCATACTATAGTCTGGAATACATTGTAACGCAATCACTGAGCTCACAACCTTGCCATAGTCTATGATACATTGTAACACAATCACTGAGCTCACAACCTTGCCATAGTCTATGATACATTGTAACACAATCACTGAACTCACAACCTTGCCATAGTCCAGGATACATTGTAACACAATCACTGAGCTCACAACCATACTATAGTCTGGAATACATTGTAACACAATCACTGAGCTCTCAGCCTTGCCATAGTCCATGATACATTGTAACACAATCACTGAAATCACAACCTTGCCATACTCCATGATACATTGTAACACAATCACTGAAATCACAACCATACCATAGTCCATGATACATTATCACTGAGCTCACAACCTTGCCATAGTCCAGGATACAATGTAACACAATCACTGAGCTCTCAGCCTTGCCATAGTAAACAATTTAGTGAACACTCACTGTCAGGTAAAACCACAAATTAAAGGGCGAGTACATCTGAAATGGGATTTTTTTTTTCAGTCTTTGGTGGAAAATGTGAGTTCAATGACCCCCAATCCTAAAAACAGGCCATCTCAGGGTCTCCAGTGGCGCGTTTTAAATCTTTACTTCCACATCCAGTAAACGAGTCTCGCTCTCTCTGGTGGGATTTTTCCACTTTCTTTTTATTATGGACAAGGACTCTTGGTGAGACTCCATTTGTGGGGAAGAGATAAAACGTTTGGGGTACCTGGCACCTACCAAAACATAAATCAAATATTGTGGACAGATGGGCCCTTTAAATTGTGTGCTCAGCCTCTTCATTGGAGGTGTTTTGTGTATTTTCCTCGGGTACATTTGGCCTCCACCTTCCATTGCACTGGAACAAGTGTACTACATCACACGTCTAAAACCTCATTGACATTTTCCAGTGTAGACACAATGATGACACTCCAAAATCACAACCTCAACCAACCTGCGCGGCGTACACACCAAGCAGCTGCTGCCTTCATCTTGTAGGACGCAGTCTAGTATGAATGTCTCCATATGATGGGGATTTGTCTGTGAGGGATCTCATGGGACACATTGTGGTTGGTCACATATCACTGGACCTGTTCTGTAGTGTTGAAGATGTTTTGAAGCTTCTCCAAGACCCCTCAACATACCCCAGCATTTATATCCACATGGGGGGGGGGCCAAGAAACCTAAATCCAATCGCCATGGAATGTGTAGATGTTGATTGTCTAAGATCAGAATAGGCGGTGGAGCCCCCCACCCACCCTTGCTCCCCCCAGATTCCATTTCCAAGACCCCATCCTTGGTGCCAGATAGTCTGTATAGGTGTTATTCTGAGGATTTCCTGACATCGAGGGAGGGGGATGATGTAACTAAAGGAGCTCCACAACTATCACACCTCCCATCCTGTTCATGGACAATCACTCTCCATGGTGATTGGATGATGGTACCTGTGTGGATATCACAGACGGGGTATGTTCCTGACACTCATTAGAACATAAGAGGGAATCTATGAAACATCTTCAACATTACAGAACAAGTCCAGCTGGATGTGACCAACCACTACTATCTATACTGGATAACAAGGAACACGAGGTAACAATGAGACAATACTGAGCATATGAAAAGTGGACGAACGTGCCCATAGCAAGCACAGCTTCAAATCTATATATGAAGGAAAGATGATG